CCCTCGTTGAAGTATAGCAGCACCGAGCTGATAATCAGATGCATCGGTGTAGATATCAAAGGGAATGTTGAGGTCCGGATAGACATTTATTGCATCATGCACTAAGAGTGCTTTCATTTCCTTAAATGCCTGATCACAAGCCGGAGACCAGATGAAAGGGCCGGAGCCAGTAAGGGCTGTTAACGGGGCCAAAACATGTGATCTGCGGGGCCACATTGACTTGTAGTAGTTGACTGCTCCTAAGAAGGAGCGGACCTGAGACTGATTACGTGGTGGGCCCATTCTGAGGAYKCCTTCCACTTTCTTTTTCCATGGTTGGACACCAACGGGTGTCATCCAATAGCCCAGGAAATCTGATGATTGTACAGCCCATTCACACTTAAGDGGGTTGCACTTCATTCCCTTGGATGCGAGGCGTGCTAAAACTTTGTCAACCAGAGTGAGGTGATTTGGGAAGGGGCCATTGGTCCATATGCCCATATCGTCTATRTATACTTYRACGTCTAGACCCCGTAGGATCTTGGTGATGAATGCTTGGGCATAATCTGGTGCTGATTTGAGCCCCATTGGCAATCTGAGGCACTTAAAGTTGCCTATTTCAGTRGTAAGCGTGCAAATGTTCTGGCTTTCCTCATCCAGTTCGAAGCAGTAGAACATCATTGATAAATCTATCTTGGTAAAGTGAGTATAGCCCTTGCGTCTGTTCATTATGTCTGGAATACGTGGCAAGGCAAACTTGGGCCTCCGCACAACCTTATTGAGCTCCCTTAGGTCTACGAGCCATCGGACTCTGCCGTCCTTCTTTGGGATGATAAAGGCTGGGAAGCCCCATTCGGAATTGATTGTTTCTTCTATCACGCCCTCGTCACACAGGTGTTTACACTCCTTCTCAAAGGTGTCCCTGTGCCGGTAAGGGACCGGGTATGGCTTCCTCCATACTGGTTGTGTCCCTGGAATGAGGTCTATGTGAATCTTGGCATCCGGATACTTGCCTAATTTGCCATCGAATAGCACAGTATGCTTGGCAAGGACCTGTTTGAAGTTCTTCCTYTCTTCGGCTGACATGTGGGTCTGTTGAGCCGCCACCTGAGCTGGGCTAACCTCCTGATACTTTGCATCAAGGATGGTAGATTGTTTACTGGAACTACTAGGAGTGGCGGTTGTTTTCTCCGCCTTAGCTGGATTCTTCAACAGAAAGGCTTCATGTGTTGGGAAATGCCACTCGATGAAGCCACCATCTAGCAGTTCATCTGATTCAGCTAGCCATAGGGCCTTGGCCACGTGTTGCGGGTGACTGAAATGGTCTGGGCTTCTCATCTCWATGGTTCTGTCAACCCATCTGATAGTGTTGCTGGTGAAGAAGAGGTCTATTCCTGCTAACCGGAGGAAATCTCTGCCTAGAATGATATCATAGAGGCAAGGCGCATCGAAGAGCCGAGCTTGTATTCCCCCTATGCGTCTGCCATTGCCAAACTCTGGCAGGCGTATATCRGTTAGAAGAGCACTGYGAGACGTGTCGAAGCTGCCGTTAGCTGTTGTTGTGATTTGCCGTTGTGTTGAGATAGTGGGTGTTGCTCCGACAGGGAGGCAACGCGAGTGGAGTAGTGTACCKGTACTGCCACTGTCAAAGAGGACCCGGAGGGTTCTTCCAACGTGGAAGCCCTGTATTTTGCTGGCAACTAGCACAGCGACCGGTAGTTTGTCTGGTGAGCACAC